TCTTTAATCTTGTGGCAGAGAGGCGGCAACATTATTTGCATGCTGATTAGCCTTCAATGTCAGTCGCCAGACAGGTTGCACCTCACTTTCCCATGGGCCCCGGGTTTTCTATCCCCTGCTCCAGTTTTCAATACTTTTGACGTGCCTGTTAATTGATTTAGAGTGCCAGTGAGCCAGTGCGGCAACTCCATCGCCAACTCGATCTCCATCTCCAAGTTGGGTCTATGATTATAGAGCGCCACTTGCTTGTTATGGCCAACTTTGGCTCTGGCCACTGTAATGACTCTCAGCTAGAGCTGCTGCTGCTGCTGCCGGTAATTGTTGGCCATTTTACTCTACGTGCTGTCTCATGGGGGGTTCCCCGCCACACTCCCCTGCTCCTCTTTGCTCGCAAATGTTTGCCTAACTGCTCAATCGTGCAGAAATGACAACTTTATTAGCAGTTGGTGGGCGGCTACGACAACCAGATTTACAGATTAACGATTTGTTTAAATCAAACTGGGGGAAATTATCCAACTTGTTCCGGAGAATATTTTAATAATTGTAATTATATATGATATATTGGTGCAAAATTCTGCCAAATAATTTTATTTTTCAAATATTCGGATTTCGTAAAATGGTGAATTTTTTTATTCAACAAAAACATAAGGAGAAGGATTTTATTCCAACTGCAAAATACTAAGAAAGTTAGTTTAAATTTTTATTTTGACAAGGGCATATTGTGTAGAATTCGAGATGAGCTATTGGCCCTGGTTTAAAAATTTCTAACACATAAGCTATAAGAAAACCTTGAAAAAAGCAAGGAGCCACATGCTAAAACTTCGTTTAATGTTTGAGGAAATTTCCAGCAATACTTAAGGAAAGGCCCACTCCACTTTTAAGAACACCTTGAGGACGTACTGTACTTACAGTAACTACTCTCGTTACAGCGATTTCGAATCGAGGTTTCCCCAGCGAAAACACCAACATGTGCTGGAAATTTCCTCCATCGGGCATTCCGCGAAAGCAGAAATCACTCCAAATGTTCGAGAGGGTCAGTGGAACACCTTGCCGGGGCATCGAATTCGGTCCGCCACCATTTTTTTACGCTCGACGGGAATCAGAGACATGTGCAACCAGAGCAACAGATTGCCAAGGGGATTTTAGGTAGGGATAGGGATATAGGGACAGGGATGTGCAACAAATGAATCGAATCTCTGAGGGCTGGCAGTTGGTGGTCGCAGCAGGTACTTGGGTATAGGAAAGGTTCGGAGGATCAGCAGCATCCTGAGAGCAACAGGCTGCACTAGCCCAAATGGATTCCTTTTTTAACATTCAGAAGAGATTTACTTTTGTGTTTTGTTCTTGACCCGGCAGCTGGTATGGAATTCTTGTAAAATGGTTGCAATCACAACACAGCCAGACTGCAGATCCTTTTCCTAGACAAAATCAATAGTATCTGATGATGATAAAATCGCCTGTTGCTTCAGCGATTTCTAGATCAACATATCCTCATTGCAATCGTGCTCTGACTAATATATTTCTGTGGCAATTCTGCGATTCGGCCAACACCCAACGATTTAAAAGAGTTCAAATAGTTACAACGCACATTTACCAGTTCCAATGAAACTGTCTATTCGATTATGGCTTATTTGTATTCCTTGCTGGATTCTTTACGCGGTTTTTATGCAAAACAGGCAATGTCTGGTTGGCTAATGAGAAGTGCTATTTCCAATAGGAATTCCAAGTTGCGAATTATTTTAATTCAAATCGTTTCTAACGAAAACTAATGAGGGAAGCATGGTAGATTTACTAAGTTTTCAATTCTTAGAAGCTTATGTAGTTATTTCTGAAAGGGTGTAACTAATAGATTAAAAACAGTTCGAAAAGTTCATAAATGGCAAAGGAGTACCTATACACAAAACATTTTTTGGAATAGCCACTATGCATAAGCAAACAAAACTGCTTAATTTAATGATAATGAAAGCAATATTGCTAAAGTATTTTGGTTTAAAAATATTTACTCCTAAAGAGAACTCAAGCACGGCAACTGGACATCATACTTAAAGCTCTCCCTTTCCCGTGCGAAACCCCCTAATTAAACTGGGCTGCCATAACCCTAACATAATATTTAATCAACATTAAGCGAAATTATATGCATTCAAAGAGAGCTGGAAGAAACGACTTTTAAGGGAGAGCTTAAATTTAACTGCTGAATTTTATCGAGTGAAATGTTTGCGGCATGTCGTCGCTCATTGATGCCACACACGAAAAACTACAAAAAATTAAAGCAAGTACGAAAAAAATGAGGAGCAGACGCGAGTGAAGCCTGATGGTGACCGGCTGCCCCAAAAAGGTATTGGTTTTGTCTTACTGAACCTTTGTTTTAGTTTGGGCCGCGAAGCCAACCAAAATCTGGTCAGTGGCAGCAGCAGCAGGTTGAAAGTGGATTTTGGGGCATGCATAAATAAATGATCAGCGTGCAGCGATCGGAGGGAATGCGGTTTTTAATTACACAGCCTTGCAGTTGACATTTTGGACCCGGGCATATGGCACGCGTTGGGGCATAGACAGATACCAAAAAAATAAGAAGAAAGCAAAGGACAGTGAGAGTTTGTTGACACTGGGGCCAGCTGCTCTGGAGAAATGTTTGAACAGCTTAAAGTTTGCCGGGCTGCTGTGTTAACATTGCGCAAACATGGCCACAAAGGACATACATTTCCGCATAAATGTATGTATTTCCATTGTGGCATCTTTTTTCTTTCCCCTTGAAAACAAGCCAAGAAGTCAAAGGAAAAGGAAATCATTCTGTTTCTTATTCGCATTCGCATTTCTTACTTCCACCCCAAACTGTGACGACTACTGTGTCCTTTGTCCTGCTTCGAGTTATTTTTTTCCTACCTTTGACTGACATATTTCATACAATTGCTTGGCATTGTGTTGATTTTCCATGGCTGTTAAATTGATGGATTGCTGTGCGACTTCTGACACCACACACAATTGCAATTCCCCCTGCTGTCGCTGGCCGTGAAGGAAACTCCTCAAGGATCTCCGGGGAAAATCTTAAGCAAGCATGCATAATGGCAGTGACAACTGCCGCCAGTTTCCTTGGATCCTTGGACTCGTGACTCCGCTGAGCTGACATTTACGACTTTTTTGGGGGATTTTTAGGCGACGTTTTTATGGATATCACATTAAATCTGCGCTAACGAGAAAAGTATACATATTGCGTTGGGGAAATAAATCAGTCAGTCACAAATTAAGAAATCCGTTTTGGTTTTGGTTTCAAAAGAAATTCACCGATTGAACAAAGAAATGTAAAACGAAAACTTAGATTGTCTTACAATTATTCTTAAGAATTTAAACAATTTTTAAACTTTGAAATAAACCTGACCTGACGGTTTATCTTCAGAAGCGGCTAGAAAAAAGTTGGTTGGCGGTGAACATCATAACCTTAACAAAAAAAAGTGATATGCGTTTTAAAGGCAATATATTTCTCGAGGTAATCAGGAAGAGTTTTTAAAAGTTGAATAAGTCATAATAATATTGTTTCACAATTCACAATTTATTTTAGCATTATATAGTATGATGTTATAAAATATTCTTTATTACATAAGTATATTGAAAAATAAATATTTCAACATTCTATTTTATCTAAAATTTGTACATACACTTTAAATATTTATATTTAATATGAACAAAAGGTGTACTAAGTGATAAGCACTTTTTAAATTTGTATAGGAAACTTAAGACTTATAAAGAAATGATCAACACTAACTTTTATTTCAGTTCTTAAACATCTGGCAATCCTCATAGCCAACCCTTCGTCTAAGATGCACTTGTTTCACTTGAAGCCAAGTCCACAGTGGACTTCAGATGTATCTATTACCCTCGAGAAGTTTTGAGTTTCGCCGAGAATCAGCTGACAGAGAGAGATGGAGAGAGAGGGGGAGCCAGTGAGAGAGGGACAGAGGAGCCAAGAAAGCGGACGCAGCCACTTGAGAAATCCACCTGCACGACTGGAAACGATCTGCGATCTGTGGCGATATATATACATGTATATACCCCTCCGACTGGCCGGACTCGCCTGCAGTTTTAATTTTGGTTGCGTCGTTCTTCAGTTGGCGCTGCTATAGCTGCTGTTTCTACTTGAGCAAACTGCAGATTACCCGAGTTGAGCCCTTAAGTGTGTTCCATATCAGGTTTATCATTCGCTGTCATTGTCGTCGTGGCTCCGAGACAAGCATACGCTTCACTGACCCAACGAACGAACGAACGAACGGATTAAATATATCATTTTTGTTCCCTCTTTAATGAAAGGGTTGAGCTGAACCGCTCAGTCCGCTTCGTTGGCCAGTTGGTTGGAAGCTCTCGGCTAACACCTGAAAATTGCAGCTTACCCAAAAATAAATATAAAACGGAAACTTTGTTTCGGGGACAACGCACATTACACACTAAATATGCTTTATGAAGAAAGTCCTCACATGGATATGGCCGAAGGGTTGGTAATATAGCCGAGCGTAATGATTGATATTGAGGAAGTTGCCTTGCGGTTATATTACAAATATCCTTTTCGGCGGGGTACTACACTAAACGAATTGTCTTTATTCAAAAAAATTTTACGTTGGTAATAAATATCGATCATAATATTTTTGTAATTGCGGTACTAATTAAAATCGGAATTAAATAGTGAGCTATAATTTTTAACAAGTCCCAATAATATTTCATTGAATTTAAAATTAATTAACTTCTTTGATTAAAGCTGCGCAAATCACTTAACAAACAGTAGAATAAATATCAACAGGAAGTCCACTTAAAATAAATAAAATAATTTAAGTCAATTATTCTTTAAAATATTGTTTATAATTAAATTTAGTAGTGTTTTTTCACAGTATAGTTAATTTTATTTGCGTTGCGAGTCGTGGGCTAATAAAGTCCTTTGCAAAAAGTTAACAATTAAGCAATGAGAGGAAGCACAACAGGGTGTCCAAGAAATGGAAAAAGTAGGCTTCACTTAAAAATTATACTGAAAATAGCATAAGTAAACATAACATCTTTAAGACAAACAAGACTTGGCTAATTTTGAAATGAGGATTTCTTGGCGAACGTTTCCCAAATTGCTGATTGTAGTGCCCTTACTCCATTTGTATTTGGCACACTGTGTTAAAGCCGAATCTGAGGATCTTAAGCGACGCAAGGAATCTGGTAATTATACCTAATAAATATAAAAGTTTTTTAAATAAAAATCGATTGATTTGTCAGAGCAACCTAATGTACAGAATGTGAACATTGCCTGGATGATGAAGCAGGCAAAGTTGCGAAAAACGTAGTTGGACACCCTGTACGGAAGCTCCACGGGGAGGAAGTAAATGCACACAAATTACCCCAAGCCAAAAACTTATCGACAAGCGTCGCTCGAACTGAAACGGAAGCAGAAAGTCAAGGTGCAAAACCAAAAATCATTACACCTGTTCACAAACACACAACAAGCCGGGGAAGATGTGAGTGTAGAAAGCGTAGAAATCGAATGGACAGCGGAGAATAATGTGAGGCACGTCGAGCCACAAAATTTAACGCTCGTAGTTCATCCGCAAGGGTTGAAGAAGTTCTTTTTTGGGGTTGAGGTAACTCGGTTTTCGGTTCGACCATATTTTTTCGGGGAAAACTTGTCACGGTGCATGCTCACCGCTTTTTGTTGCATGTGGCAGGCGACACAAATGCGGGCCAAACGAAATTTTTACTGTTTTGATATCTGAAATTAATAAACTTAATGAGCGACCAGCGACAGATAGACATCTGCAACAGGTTACACTTTTTGCAGCTGCACTTGTTCTCCCCGCAAAAGGATTTTGCACGAAATTGCATTTTAATTGTTTTGTTAAATTTCATTTTGGCCACTCGATGCTGGTCACTGATGGTACTTGGCATTAACACTTTTTAGCAGGCGAACACCGCAGCTGCCTTTCCTTGGCGATCGGAGAAAGGCCTGTTAGGAACGGGTTCTTTTATAGGTATTAATTAAAGATAAGTTCTGGGTGTATTCTTATAATTTATTATCTATTCATCAAAAATTCGGGCACCAGCAAAAGGGTTGAAATTAGTCATTTGTGGCAGATGCAAAGGCAGCTGAGAAAATTTGGGGTTTTTAATATGCACATTTTAACCAGAACCATTTAAGAAAATTGTGTTCACACTATTTGATAAGTTTTATAAGGGATTTCATAATTACTTAAGATAAAAACAAACACACATTTATGCTTAGGGGAAAACATTTACTTTACGTATTTTGCTTTTACTTGTAAGGTCAAGTTAATTCGTTTCGCTCTTTAGCCAATTAATAATCAGATAAAACATATAATTGAGTATATGCATATGAAGATGCTTCTCTTATGTTAATTTTCCAGTTCATATTTTTTGCACAAATTATAGTTATGAACTTGAATATTACAACTTTACAGCTTCTCTTTAACATAGGTATGTTAAAGTACCGAAAGCTTATCTTGGATTTAATATTAAAATAAGGTAACAGCTCAATTCGAAATGCCAAAAAGCTTCCCATGGGACGAAGAGCGTTTAGATCCTTCCAGATATCCACCCTTTTTACTTAAGTATATAATTTGTACGCCTTATCTGCCGGAAACCCGTATTCCCCCGCTTTTATCAAGTTCATTACGCAATGCTCTCATAATTATTTGCAAGGGAAAAACTCACTCGGCAACAAAAGACTTAAGCCACGAACCTTCTTTTCGATCCGAAGAGGGTTAAATTACGGCATTCGGATATTACTTAATCATACATTTGACTGGTCGCTATATGCAGAGCACCTTGCAGTCGTGATGGGGGAAATTGAAATGACAGTTGAGTTTATGACGGGGAGGGCCAGATGAGAATCCGAATGCGTATTTTTTTGGCAATGCGTCAGTTGCAATTACAAGTGACAGAAGGATGCACCCGCGACGAGGGGAGGGAGGGGGAATTCGGATCCGCCCGATGACAACCTGCAACTGTCAAAATGTCCGACAGTGGCAAAAACTGTCAGCGGACGGCGGTGCCGGGCAAATGTGACGCCATATAAAAATCAATAAATTATGAAAGCCGAAGGGCGGACTGAGCACTTCGCCTCCTCGGTGGCAGTGGCAGTTGCATAATGTATTCTAAGGATGCCAAAAAGGAGTGACGACAAACCGGTTGCAACTCCATCAGACGACGTCCTTAGGGAACTTCTGGATCGCCTGTATTTGGCGTTGATTGATTTAGTTAGTGGCAAAAACACTTCACTCTCTCCCCACCTCTTCCTTAATGAATTAATTAATGAAGGCCATAATTAAATTTGCACTTTGTTCCTCGGCCTGGTGTTGCATGTGCTAATTTATGAGTTTTTAATTATTTTTGCAATTAATGTTTTTTGTCTCTGCATTATAATTATTTCCTGGCAACAGGATCAACAGGATATGCTGCTCATTTGTCAGTTGCGAAGCGTTAAATCGAGACCCCAAAAAACGAGCTTCCTTCATCCAAGCGAAATAACAAAAAAAAAACGAAAGACTCAGGCAACGAACTTGTTTTCAGTTTTGGGGCGCCAAAATTTTATATTTTTTCAATTCGGTTTTTTTTTTTGCAGCTGTTTCTCTTCTGTTTTTGTATTTTTTTTTTTTTTTGGTGATTATTAAAAAGCATTATTTTCTCCGTTGCCTGACAATAGAAATTGGCTGCGGCTTCAGGTGCATTGTTCCAATTTCGAACTCCCATCGAGGAAAAATGTCATTTCGAAAACTCAATTGTTTGGAAATGCTTTTCGTGCGACAGGTACTCGTAGTTTCATGCGTAGATCTTTTCTGTCCTTCATAACCAATTTTTTGGGGGTGAAACCAACAGAGATCTTCTTTCCACTATGGTTTTTGTGAACTGTGTCTCTGCTGCAGGTGGACAACTCAAAATGTTCTCAGGCCGAAGTGAATGCCTCTTGTTTGGTACAGTTATAAAACTGTTTTAGATTTTCTTCTCTCCTCTGTTGTAGGTTTTTTTTTGGCAGAACGTGGGAACTAAATTCTGCAACAATATCCAAAGCTGATGAATAGGTTTCAGTGCCAAATAAAAACGCAGGTGAAGCTGGAACTATCGATGAACAAGAGTCGGTTGCGGAGATTAAATAGTTGATGGAGCTTATAAAGGCTTAAAGAGTTTTTTATAGGGGAATACATAACGATATTTAATGACTTGAAATGATTGGCTGGATATTAACATTTCTAAGAATCTAAAATCTTTGATTGTTGTTGCAAATTAAAGATAACGAACACAACCTTTCTATTAATAGCTAAATGTATTCTCACAATTTGTAAATTTTCCTTTTTATTTTCAGACAGTAATTTCCATTTTCTTGTACCAACATTTCCCATTCACTCTTTCTTTCGATGTACAAATATTTGTGTTATGCATTAAATGGAATATTTTCTGTTTGCTCACCTCACTTTCCTAGCAATTTCACTGTCCATAAATATTTTTAGCCCCGGCAGCTGCTGTCCAATCTCCGATCTGCAATCTGCAATCAAATGACTCGACAACTTTGCAGAAAGATTTCTTAGGATTTCTGTTTTCTTTTCCACCTTTAGCTTAATTGTTTGCAAATTAGCTAATTAGTTAATTAAGGCGTGATTATAATGCGTTCTTCCAGTTCAGGGTTAGTAACCCGATTTGGGCGTTTGTGAAACCCTTTTAAAATTGAAGCTACCTCGGCCGCTTACAAATTTCCGCAATTTCGGACGCGATGAGATAAGCAAAAAAACGGAAGAAGCAAAGTAAAAACAAAGCAGCCATAACCATATGAAAATTAAACCAAAATTTGAAAACAATGAGCTTGAACAACTTAATTGAGACGTTGAGGCTGCAGGCCCTCTTTGAGTTGGCTTCTTGTCATCGTTAAGGAGTTAATTTATTTATTATCCCCAGATTTTTACGGCTCCATTGTTTTTCGCTTATTCCAAGAGGGGGGCTGGACCCAAGAATAATAAAATATTAAACGGCAACAACAGCAGCCGAAAAGAGGAGAGACCGAAAGAACCGGCTTTGGCTAATTAGGAGCTTCGAGGAAAATATATGTAACACCGAAAAACCGAAAACCAACTCGAAAATGTTTCTTTTTATGGATGCTCATCTCTGTGCATGTTTCTGTTGTCTCCGCGTCGTTAGCTTCATCCCCCTTCTTCCCACCATTTTTTATGATGTCGAGAGATTTTGCACCTTATGAGAAAATCTTAAGACTCGTTGGCCATCTCCATCTCAGTGGCCGTCGCTGCCAATCTTGTTAAACTCGCCTCAAAGCCGCATTGACACTTTGTTGCGCTTGCGCTTCGTTCGTTACAATCCCAGAGTTTCGAGCGGGAAGTTGGTCCGGCTTTTCGGCTCTTTGCTCTTTTTTATTTTTCATGTGGCCCATGTATTTGAAAGTCCGTTTGGCTGTCAAAAGCGTTAATTTTTAAGTGCCTAGTGAGAGTTTTTCCTCCGCACCGAGTTCAGTTTTAGTCTTGGCTAACAGCCACTCAAAGGCGGCTTTCATCTCAGAAGCAGCTGCCGTGTCATTGCATGTGTGTGCGTTTGTGTGTGTGAGTGTGTGTCGATGTGGGCCTTAATGAGAGCACGGGTTCAAGTGGCAAGTGCTTGTCTATTTTTTATTTGCAGCATTCTTTGGCCCAATGTGAACTCATTAATTTGTCGCTCCAAATGGGTTGCCAACTTGACATTTTCACTTGAAATTTTCCACTGACTTCGTTGTTAACCCACCTTTTTCCTTATTTTCTTCGAATATTTGGCAAACTTTTTTCAAATTACATCGTCTATTATATAAATGAAGCACAACTGATGCTTGTTATTAACCTAAGACATAAATATATACCTCAATTTAAGTTATAGATATAATGTCCTAATAATCTGTCCGCAAATTAAACTTGGTTGTTAAACAAACATGAATTTAAATAGACCACCTGAAATATTATTTTATGTATTAATTTTTAGTGTTGATCATAACATTGGCTAGTCAAAATCCAGATAAAATGTCTATTTAAATATTATGTCCCACTGTTTTAATTAAGATTTAATTCATCCTGAATTTTGTGTTTAATATGCATATGTTTTGTGCATCTCATAATTTGAATTATTCCCACCATAATTTTCTTTCCCCCTACTAATAATTTCCAACCCCAAAAATTGTGATCCCAAAACCAACAAACCTGCTAGCAATTTACATATTTTATATGTTCTGCTCAGCTAATTGCGAATAAAATGTTGACCCAAAAATGAAACGAACGAGCGAGTTATTTCAAATTTCCGTGGCATGTGAGAACCTTCCTCGAGATGCGGCCCAAAAGAAATGCTGGCCTTCATATTTAATTATTTCAAAAATTGCATTTTCCTTCTTCTTTTTTATCATTTCACATATATGTATGGATGGTACGTACCCCGGTGAGTGAGTGTCATTAATTTGGCCAGCAGGCGAAGGGCGATTGGGGGTAGTTGGGGGAGGCGGAGCAGTTGGAGGAGGCCGAGCATGACAGGAGAATTGGACAAGTTGTAAAGGAAATATTTTGATGTTACCGTTATTCCTGCGGCAAGGTAGCCGATCGTTGTCCGCACCGAATTTATATATATATGTATATATATGAAAATATTTTTACTTTTGCTTGTTTCTCAGGCCAGTGGTAAGAGGCTAATAAACTCAATTAAGCGGAGTGTAAGCGTGTCCAGAGTTTTTGACGCTGGTCAAGTGCTGATGGCCGACAGTACATGGCACTTAATTGACCAACTTTGAGTTGCGTT